TCCACGTCTTCTGCAGGCACGCTGGTGGCTGCAGAGGCCTATGCGGGAAAAGAAGGTCCTGCCACAACAGCTGCAAGTATAGGTCTCATCTGGGATGGGTGCTGAGGGATCATGGTTCTTCCTCCTTCTCCTTTTGTCCTCCATACGGGCCCTGCGGGTATCTTCGAAGAAGGAAGTGGCCTGGTGGACTGTGTGCCGCCAGGAGTTGCGATCAGCTGCTTGTGTTGCCCACTGACGGTGATCGATGCAGCAAGCAGTGAGGGTCTTCTTCAGGGAGTCTTCTTTGTATCGCTTTCGTGGTGCCCCTATGTCGCGATGGCCAAAGGACAGTTCCCCATACAGCACAATCTTAGGTAAGCGGTGGTTCTCCATCCTGGCGATGTGCCCTGCCCAACGAAGCTGTGTCTTGAGGACCATGGCCTCGATGCTGATGACCTCCGCTGACTCGAGGACTTCAGTGTTGGCGACGAAGTCACTCCAGTGAATATTGAAGATTGTGCGGAGGCAGCGCTGATGGAAACGCTCGAGGAGACGTGACAAAATGCATCGCGTGTGTGTGCGCTTCTCCTAGATGATGGACTGCACTTTTGTTGTAACTTCCCACTGCTGGGCTGGGTAACGGGCTCTGCCATTCCTTTCCTTCCACTCATTCAGTGCCCCCCTGTCCAGAAGTGACCTACGAACTCGCCTGTGACGTTGCCTGCTCACGGGGGGAGGAGGAAAAATAAATTCATTCGTGACCCGTACGGGGATCGAACCCGCGACCTTGGCGTTATTAGCACCACGCTCTAACCAGCTGAGCTAACCGGCCAACCTGCACGGCGTTGGGAGAAAATCAATTATATTGCGCGAATCAATATGTGCCTCTGATTGCTCAACACGCGTATCAAGCAAAATAGTATTGAGCGTCGAGGTGATATTCACCTTTTAAAAAATATATATCTAGTAGCGCGTGGAAGATATGGATAATACTGGAGCTATGAGAGAACACCGTGTGATTCTTAACGGCTTCACCGCTCAGGCTGATGCAGGACATCACACGAGCCTTTGATGGCCTTTGACATATGCCGCACAGATGGAAATCTGCACGTGTCCTTACGTAACGAAACGTGAGGGCCACCCGCCCTCCCCATAGCGTTTTGTGTCAAAGTTTCCGGCACCACGTTTTTGTGCCGTGTTGCCCAGCTTGTAGCGAATGCTGTTGTTGACTTGTGTGGGGTGGAGCGGTGGCGCAGTGGTTAGCGCACCGCGCAAGGAATACGTCAAACCTCAGTTCGACTCCCCCGGGGCTCGGCTAACATCAGCGGCTCAGAGTGAAATCTGAACCTGTACCGGGGCTTCTCGTCCTTCACCAAACATGCACTCACCAGCGCGGTGAAGTATGGTCAAACAATCTCCCGTGACCAACATTCAAATGTCGTAAATTATGGATGAAATTATATTGATCAAACGAGGCCAGCCTCATCGCCTAAAATTCTGCAAATGTATTTCGTTCAGCGACTAAATTGACAGCTATCAGCTTCGAACACGAAACCAGCTCGCCTTACTGTGTCCATGATATATGTATGCGCGCACAGGTACTTTACAGTTTATTCGGGGTGTAACGATGCATCGATTCAACGATGAATATCGATGTTAAGACTCACGATTTACGCGTGGCATATCTCGTGTGTGTGTGTGTCGATGTGTTATAGCGATTGTAAATTATTTGCGGGCTACGCTGACTTTACTCTAACACAAACGGGGACGAACTGCAGAGTGACAGGCCAGAAAATAAAATAAAACATCGCAAACGAGGTGGTGAAATCGACACAAAACAACGTATTCTTTTTCGATTTAAAGCTTTCGTGACTGCAGGGATTCAGACTCTTCTCGACAGATCTGCTCTCCACCTGAGGACGGCTGCTTGCGTTGTGGCCGGAACGTCGTGAGAATTATTTTATTATGTTTTATTTTTATTATTTTATTTTTTCCATTCTACGTGACTTTACCGAAAGAACCAAGAAGAAAACAACGTATTCTTTCATAGATTCTCGATAGATTCAAATCTCTGGGGTGTCGAGAGTGGGCGGGATAATAACGCGGTGATCTTAAATTGCTGGGTTGACAAGAATGGTTTACAGCACGTATCGCGCGTCGGAGGATGAAGAAATTTTATTTTTATCATTCAACTTGTCCAAGGGATGAGGCTGAACTTTGGTCTCCACGTTCTTGAGTGGAATCAATGAAACGAATCAAAAAGCCCCAGCTCTCCTTTGACAGACACGTGGCCTCAATGGATAATGATTTCTCTCCTTATAAATAAAGTTCATCCACCTCAACATTAAACAATAGATAGACAGTGTACATGCTGTGCACCATATAAACATTCGTTCAACACAATAACGGTGATTCTAGATTTGAAGCTTTCGTGACTGCTAGGATTCATACTCTTAAGTTATTTCGGTAAAGTCACGTAGGTAAAAAATAAAATTAAAAGTTAATAAAAGTAATAATGGAAATAAAATAAAATAATAAATCACGACGTTTCGGAGGCAACACAAGTCTCCGTCATCAGGTGGGACCGTCACGGCTAAAATTACTGCATCACCTGATGACGGAGACTTGTGTTGCCTCCGAAACGTCGTGATGTATTATTTTGTTTTATTTCCATTATTACTTTTATTAACTTTTATTTTTATTTTTTACCTACGTGACTTTACCGAAAGAATCTAAGAGTACAATAACGGTGTTTGCATGTCCTCCATGTAGACCTTCTCTCGCGCCGTGCGTTCGTTACATCAGCCCACGTGTTCTCTGGACGTAGAGTTTTGCAGCAGCAGCGTGTTCACGCAGGGGACTCTGGACCGGTTCCCATTATTTATGAGTCGCATCTGCTGCAGCGCGTGTCCAGATACGGGCCAGGTGGAGTTTGTTACGGGCCATCAGAGTCCTTCACGAGCCCCGCGCTCAGGAAATCCAGACTTGGAGCATTTCATGACAATGTCTGCGCATAACATCGTATAGCAATCCCTCCTGCACATGGCCTTTGCTTATCCAGAAAAAAACCCTCCAAAGACTCATTATCAGCAGTCCTACATTATGATACGATGCCTGACTACAATGTGGAATTACACACACAATATAAATGCGATACACACGCATTTGAAGACGCTGTACAGAGACAGTGGGCACATTTATTTTGTAAAGGCTGCAGTCGCAGGCCGAGGGACAGACGGAGACATGTCCACGATTCTGGACTGAAACGAGGGGCTCGACCGCACATATCGCCGTGAGAAGGGAGTTCCAGAATGCGGTTGGTGGCAACCCAGGAGAATGAGCGCACGCGACTGCTGGTTCGCAACACCGTTACCTGCGGCTCTTTAAAGGACTGCTTTTTAACGTTGTTATATATATTTTGTAACCAGGTAAGGCCCACTGACCTATGTGGGTTTTTTTTCAGAAGCGACCTGGCCACAAATGATGGCTCAACGAAGCGGCTTATCACGTGGAAATATATATCTGTCAAATACTCTAAACGCGTGTGTCTAAATGTGGAGGGGAAAACCGGAAAAATCCACGCGACCGCGGAGAGATAGAACCCGCACACTCCCAATATACGAACGTCAGGGTCGAAATCAAATCCACGACCTCCTGTATACCAGGCGAGGGAGTTAACATCTTCACATGCATTGTGGCTCTTGAAATATAGAGTTTTTTTTATATCCAATTGGAAAAATAATATATTCTTGTTACTTTGTCGACCCCGAATTTAATTTTTCCTTCAGTTCCTTACAGTCCCACACTCTAACGGCTATGTGGTCAGCAATCCTGGGATGCGTCACATTTTCTCCACGTGTGGTCGTGCCGTGAACATTTTTTTTCCCACTCCAAGTCTCCGAAAACGTCTGCTAATGTCACCGACGTCAACCCTGTGGTATAACCTCATTTGTCCCTGGATATATCTTAAAACCAAACCACTCCAAATCACAATCTCGAGGAACTGTGGTTGTATTTTTATAATTTAAAAAAAATAAAAGACCGAAGGAATAATTCCGTTCAAATAGTTTATGTATGGCAGGAAATGCAATGCTATACGAGTTAACGTTTCCCAACTAATGTTGAAAGCGCGTGTACATTAGCTCCGTCCGTGTGTCTGTTCGTCTGTCCGTCTTGTTTGCTGTCACGGGGAGGCGAAATAACTCGTAAATATCGTTAGACTTCAACGAAACCCTCCTATACGTGGTTGTGCTGTCATTGGGAACTTACCCTATTCAAAATGGGCAGCAATGGTCAAAGACTTGCCCGAGGCATCCCATGCGGTGCCGTTATTCCCAGGCCTCGCGGGGTTCTCCACACGTGGCCACACCGCGCCCTGAGCGCCTGGCCGAGGGGGCCCGTCGTTAAAAATCGCTCATTAAATACTTGGAAAGCGTTTCAGAATCCGCGCACGACTCTTCTTTCCTGGTTTAAAATATAACGTGTGTACTAAGTTAGCCGTGAAGACTTCACTAACACGAGATAAGGGGTGTGATGTTTACGTTCGGCCGTATTTCCCACCAATACACACACGCACACGTGTGCGCGTTTTAGTCAAAATCAAGGACTCCTTTTTCTCCTATCGCTGCTACTATACAACTTATGTCACCGGTCACATAACACGCATCACTTGAAGTCGCCGACTCATGTTGACGTTCGCAAGTTGAAGCCGAGACGCGGGGCGTGCGCGAAATGTCACAACTATTTCAAAGTCTTCGACCCGTGTCTTTTTTTATTTTTTACACGCGGTCAGTGCACTATGCAGATAGCAATCGTTCTTCCACCGATAACTGTCCCATCCGCTATGAGATGACTATCTGCGCTCGGGGCACCTGTCCCGTGACCAGGGCAATCAATGGGCGATCGGGTACGATCCGGCCATCACACGCGAGTCTTGCGTGAGTTTCGTTCCATTCCATTCTCATGCAAATCGCTGGAGCTTATAAAGTGTGAGCGACACAGGAGTCGCGCCGCAAGCCACACGCGGGCTTCGTCCAGGTCACCACCTTTCACCCCCCCCTCCCTCGCCACCCCGATACGTGGATTCACCCGCTCGGGCAAGCATCGCGTACACCAACACCCCGCCACGAGCCCACGAGACATCACCGAACAGCAGCCGGCATGGAGGAAGCCGGTAACGACAAGGGCCGCTTCCAAGTGAGCGTACAGCCCGGCGAAGATGGGGAGAACTACGCGTACACGGACACGCACACCAACACCTACTACTCGCGCACGTTCGGCCACAACACGCTGGACCCGGTGCCCAACTACAACTACTACTGCCGCACGGGCACCATCCATGGCAAGAAGCTGCCCAGGCCCAGCATTCACGAGCTGCATGCCACCTACGTTCCGGTAGGTCGGGATGCAAGTGTGTCTGTGTGTGTGTTTCGGTGTGTGTGTTTCTGTGTCTGTGTGTGTATCTCGGTGTGTGTGTCTCTGTGTGTGTGTCTCAGTGTGTGTGTTTCTGTGTCTGTGTGTGTGTCTCGGTGTGTGTGTTTGTGTCTGTGTGTGTTTTGGTGTCACCGTGCCTGCAACCCTTTTCTCCAGCAGCCTGTGAATACTGTTGAGGGCACCTTTGTATTTGTGTAACCTCGGTGGAGCGATGGGCAGGAGTAGCAGACTGCGCTTTAAAATACAAGACCCAGCGACCCACTTGGGTCCCGTCTATCCGAAACGTCGTCTATGATGGCGGGGTTTTTTTTTCTCTTCAGGGCAGCGTTATTGACGAACGCGTTGAAATGTTAATCGTTCGGGGAGCACACGCATTTGTCCGCTTGAATGGTTGAGTGCGGTGTTCCGTATTCCACTCGTTCATGGGTCTAGCGCAGCGGTCGGGAACCTATGGCTCGCGAGCCATATATGGCTCTTCCGGTGACGGCATATGGCTCCCAGACAATTTTGAGTTGAAAAAAATAATAATAAAACAATAAAATCAGTTTGGAACTGATTTTAAAATACTTGTGATATTGCTTAATAATACTGTGTCATTTTAAAGTAAACAGAAATTTGTTTTGAAGATAAAATTTCTCGGGTCACGGGTCCCGTGACCAGAAGTCGCATTAAAAGTAAGACATATTTAATTTATTATACGTTAAAAATACTATATGGCTCTCAATGAAATATATCTAGAAATATTTGGCTTTTATGGCTCTCCCAGTCAAAAAGGTTCCCGACCCCTGGTCTAGCGCATGCGTTTGCTGCCCTCTAAGGAACGTGCTACCCAAACTTTGGACCACTGCGATCTGCGCTCCTCCAAACTGAGGAGGGAACAGCAACACGACACCAACTTGGCCTCCCAGAACTCCCTCTTGTCGTGCCCAGCAAGATCCCAACATCTAGCTCCTGAACGTATCGCCATGCACAAGCGTAGATAGATTCGTCGCGTTAATACGTCTCGTCTCGTTAACAGATGTAGACCTCGCTTTGGTTTTCAGATTTTTGACCGAGAGGCCAGTGTTGAAATTGACTCCACTTCGTGGTAGTGGTACCAATTGATGTACTTGTGTGTGGCCCCGTACAAAGACTACGAGTGATGAGCTCGCTCTCTCTCCAGTGTGGTTATCACATATAACGAGAGCTTCCAAATATAGCCATTTCAAAAACTGCAATGTCGGTTTTTTTTGCGAGCGGTAAAGGCGAATGGCACGCTGGATCTGAGTCCGTGGGCAGAGCAGTTGATGACATTTCTCATGATGCCATGGTCACAGCTACCACTGCACGGCGTTCACGCGCTGATATCATTCGGTGCTAGGAATCCAGTCGCAGGGGGCTTTCAAATGACCTCTGCATTGTTGGTTTGCTTGTCCCAAGGCCGTAGCCATGGAGTCAGCATTGGGGGGAGGACCAAATCTTCCAGGGGGTCTGGGGGTCCCCCCCCCAGAAAAAATAAATCTAAATTTGAAAACGAATTTCCTGCCATTTCCTGCCTAAAATATAAAAAAAATTCACTAACACATAGGATGGAATTTTTATTTTTTACAATAATGTCTAATAGTGTATTGCATTACATTGCTCTGTTTTTTTCTTTTTTACCTTTTCTTGTTTCATCATATGTAATGGCAGAGAGGGATTAATAAAGTACAACCATAACCACAATCATATAAACATACATCTATTTTATAGCAATATATTGGGGGGGACATTTTGAGCATATTTGAATATTGGCGGGGGGATGTGTCCCCCCAATAGATATTATAATTACAGCCTTGGCTTGTCCTGTAAACATGTGAAAGGAGCCGCATTCGCGCGTGCAGTCCTGTGCTTGACGAAACTCTACCGCGTGCATCCACAACTGGACGATGGCCTTCACCGTGCGGGTAGTAGGGGATGGTTTGGCCATACTTCACCACGCTGGTCAGTGCGCGTTGAAGGCGGAGGATTCTGCTTCACTGCCCTCTGCTGCTCACAACGTGAACGGTCAACACGTTGTTGACCGCCAAAAAGTTCACGTGAGCAAGCGATGGAAATTCCACATTGCCATGGTGGTTTAACTACCGTCGTTCCTCAATTTACTGAGACTTGACTTACAGAAGCCTTGTTGATACTCGGGTCAAGCGCTGTTTTTAGATTAAATAAAAAACACATGGCCCGTACGGGGATCGAACCCGCGACCTTGGCGTTATTAGCACCACGCTCTAACCAGCTGAGCTAACCGGCCACATGATGAGAGGAGATGATTTAAGATCCCAAACTCTATCTTTGACGAATACCCGGCAATTCCCCCCATTCATCAACTCCATTTAGCGAAGCACGCAAACTTCTCACTTTGCGTGCTGTTCAAATTTGTTCGGTGGAGAACCGATAGGCTTCCTCCGCGAGCAATGTGGAATTTTCACCACGTGCATAGAGAGCCGCCAAACGGAGACGAGGGCTTAAATATAAATGTGTCGTTAACAAAATTTTTTTCCTGTATCATGGATGATATTGGTCGCGAAAGCCTTACCTGTTAAACCGGAGACGAGGACTATGAGCACGGACTTCCGTCGGCAGTGCGAGGGGGAAGTCCTCAAAGTTTGAAGAATTAAAAAAAGGGGATGTAATATTGAGTCGCATTTGTCTTTAGGATGTTGTCCTTCCCCCGCACCACCGATTAGCACGGTCGGCTACGTACGGCGCAAACGAAGTTCGACACACACGGTAATTGTCTCACTGAAGCGTTACGCGTTGGGATCGCAAAAAAAGAATGGAAGAGTCAGAGGAAGCTCCCACTGCGGCCACAAACACCGAGACGAGATCGACCACTGTGACCACAGCCATAGCAGGAGCCATGGCTGTGGTCACAGCACCTTCGTTATTCGCTGTCCTGCCGGTGCACGGCAACGTAACTTTGGGCGCGTTATCTATTCACTGTCGGATGGCAGTCTCGATCACAATGTTTTTTTGGTTATGGGGGTTGTTTGACCATACTTCACCACGCTGGTCAGTGGGGCTTCGCGAGTTCATAGATCACTCGCAACAGCAGCCGTACCCGGCTTGTATGAATGGATACGCGAGATCGAAGTGCTTGATAGCCGCACTCAATTTGAAGCGGTTTTCACTGAATTCGCTGCTGTTGGCCACGCAACGATTTCTGAACCTCCCGAGTCAATGGGCACCTCTTGGCGGTACAACGCAAAGCGAAACACACACCCGCTCTGGGACTCTTCGTGGACCACCAACGACGTAATAAGAGTCACAGTCCTTTGTCAGTGCACACACACACACAGGGGTCGGTCATTGCGATGTGTAACAGTACTCGCCGGGAGGCGAACTCAGAGCGCAGCGCGCTAATCTGCTGTCACACAAATGCCACGATCTTGTTGATGTTGTTGTGTACTGACCATCGCGCACTCGCGCGTGTGCCCCCCCCCCCCCCCCCCCGTGTGAAGCCGGAGCCGACGGGTCTGGCGGGGGTCTACGACGACCCCGAGGCCGGGCAGGAGGTGGAGGAAGACGGCCCCAAACCCCCTGAGCCCATCCTCTTCGGCTGGTTCCGTGGTGTGGGGGTGAGTGGGAGCACCCCCCCCCCCCCAAAACACGTGACACCACCACCACCCAACAACACACAACAAGTGACACCACCACCCATCATCATCGTGCCGTCAACCCCAACAGTGGTTTCAAATGTGTGGCGGTCCCCACCCATACTGATGATATCTAAGAAGGCGACAGTGCCCCCCCCCCCCCCCTCTGAAATTGAGTGTAGAACACCGCTCTAGGCTGAGAAAAAGTGTCCCCTTGTTTCGTCTGCAGTGGAAAAGGAGAGAGAGGGTAGGGATGGCGGGGGGCCCCTATAGCTCACGGAGACCAAGCGCATTACTGAGCACCTCCTCGCACGTCGAGTTTCACTTACAAAACAATCCCCCGCCAGCGGAGCGCCTACCGCCAGCATTGACGAGAAGAAGACGTTGCAAGGCTGTACCTTTATCTGTTTTTAGTTGTCCGACCCTCTGGTGACACCTAGCGGCACCAGTCGATTTGCGTCGCGCATTCATGCACCTCCAGAATCTTGAGTTTTCCCCTGCCCAACATTTTTTTGTATCAACCACAGCGGGGTTTTTTTTGCTGCTAGTTTATTTTGAAGGTATGGCAACTTGCTAGTCCAATTAGAATCGTAGTCTCTCCACACAAAATTATATGCATCTCATTTCACCCTCTGATAATGCATCGGGTCAAGAAGGGTGACATCGTGTGAGTGGTGCAGCCAGAGCCCAAGTTGAAAATTCCACCTTCATATGGCAGCGGATTCAGTCTCTCCGCAGGATGACGATTGTGGAATTCCCACAAACGCAAGACAATGTATCCACCCCTGAGCTATGATGGGATTAGCGGAACCTTCGACTAGAATTTTAACCTGTGACCCTCTATTAATCATCGTCTAAATCCCTCACCAACTCTCTGATAAGCGTTCACACGAAAGGTATTTGAATTCAAAGGAAGCTGTACCCTGGGTAGTTTTGTGAATGTGACGCTCCTGCCCCAAAATCTGCGATTTGGAACGGAAACCTCAATTTTTTTATCAAAACGAGAATGGGATCCAATTTAAATCAATTCCCACCCCCAAAATAAAATAAAAAACATAGAAATCACATTTATCGTTCTCCTTGGGCACAGCATAACAAACGAGTGGCTGCCAAGGAGTGGAATGACTCTTAAGAGCACGTCCACCGTGGAGATGGAGCAAGACATTCAGCGTGTGTGTCGGCGCTAAGCGGATGGCTTCGGGAGGCCATCATCCCTCCCGCAGTAGGAGTCATTGCGTGGCCGATGATCATCCCAAAGTTGTCGCCCGTCGCTGGTGTCGGTGCTGAACCTTCGTCGTTGATGTTTTGGATGTGTGGACAGATGCGTGTGATGGTGAACATTTGGGGAGTCCTCATGTTCCTCCGCCTGCCGTGGATCACGGCGCAGTCCGGCATCGGTAACGCTTCTCTCTTTTATCCACCACCACCACCACCACCCTCCACTCTCGTAGCATCGCGCAAATAAGGGGTAGTGGGGGTATAAGAAAAAAAAGGTCGCTCACCCCAGCCGTGCCTGTGTACGATCTGTTATGAGTCTTCGGATGCTTTTGATGTCAGGTCACTGCTCACGTGTGCCTGGGGGCAAGGGCCAGCAACCGTTGAGCCCTACTCTCAATTGCGACAAGAAACCAAGCACCACACGCCTTGCAGAACTGAGCCCTTGAGCTGCAGTGAACCAATGATTATGCCGATTAGATGTGCTCATGTCTGTTATGGCTCCTGTTCACAATTGCGCTAAAAAATAACGTCGTGAAACTCCCTTCCCGCGGGTGCCGATGAGGAGCCGTGCCGCGGCTCGCCAGGACAATGCGGTACAGCAGAGTGCGGACTCGTTACCTTCTGTATGGCACAGAGTGGTTGCCCCCCCCCCTCCCCCCCATGTACTTGTAGATTGTCTCCGGTGCTCGTCCCACACACGTACGAACGCCGCCGCTCATTGGCTGAAAACACCCAAAGCTGCCTGCACCTTTCGTGCGATGCGGATGGCCCAGCGGTGCGAGAATGGAGTTTGCACGAATAACGCTGCTGTCTAGATCACTCGTAATGACTGCAGTCAGCGATGTGTGAACCGATCCGAGGCATGCCCCTTCACCGACGAGCATGGTGAAGTGTGGTGAGAACCCCCACGACCGACATGATGTGGGTTGGTCTGAATCCAGCAGTAGATTGACAAACGCGGCTCTGCATATGTAGCTACTAGCCATGCTTTCTCGGATGGAGGACTGTGCGTATTTTAAGACGAAGATTCGGATCGTGTTCACATTTCCCGATCGCTCACGTGAAATGCTATCGTCAGGTGCGTTGGAGCTTACAGAAGTGACATTCCTCCCCGGCGGCCTGTCGCGAGTTGACTGAGCGAGCGCGGAACGACTCTTAACGATCTCCCCGCTCCCCTTGGCCAGGTCTCATGTGGCTGATCATCATCATCTCCTGCAGCATCACCAGCACGGCTTGCCTGTCCCTCTGCGCTGTCTGCACCAACGGCAAGGTGTCTAGAGGTGTGTGCGTACACATATACACAGTATGTGTATATATATATATTACGCTGTGTCCGAGCCATCTCCTCCTGCTGCTCAATCGAGCATCGGGGCACTGGCGCTCAACTTTCACGTCCACGGCCGCCGCACCGGTGGCAGAGAAGTTCCACGTTACCGCGGCGGGAATTCGACGTCTCCTCCATAGCACAAGCACCGCTGACCTCTCCCACCAGAGTGGGGACTCGCTCTTAACGACCCCCCGGGGTTTTGCAACTCGCCACCTTTCCCCGCCTCTGACCCATCGGTTACACGGCCCCCTGCCACGCGCGTGCACGCGCCCTGCCACGTGCGTGCACGCGCTCTGGTTGTAGTTAGTAAGGGCCCCGTGGGTGGCAGGGCGCGCGGATCGCTATTGGCGCTCGTGCGGCTGATCGCCGTGTCTCGCGTTGTTGCTCTTGTTTCTGATCGCCGCGTCTCGCCCAGGCGGCTCCTACTTCTTGATCTCGCGCACCCTCGGCGTGGAGCTCGGAGCGCCCATGGGCGTCATCTACAGCTTCGCCTCCTGCGTCTCCATCGCCTCGCACACCGTGGGCTTCGCCGAGACCCTCAGGGACATCCTGCACGTAAGGACAACCACACACCCACCCGTCCACCCAGCCACCCACCCGTCCACCCGCCCATCCACACAGCCACCCACCCACCCGTCCACCCAACCACCCGCCCACCCGTCCACCCAGCCACCCACCCGTCCACCCGCCCATCCACACAGCCACCCACCCACCCGTCCACCCAACCACCCGCCCACCCCTCCACCCAGCCACCCACCCGTCCACCCGCCCATCCACACAGCCACCCACCCACCCGTCCACCCACCCACCCGCCCACCCGTCCACCCGCCCACCCGTCCACCCAGCCACCCAACCACCCACCCACCGAGCTGCACAAAGACATGGGGTATCCCCGCGTAGCCCCTAACGCACCGTTTCGGGGCAAGCGCTGTTTGCGAGTAGCAGCACCTACGAGGGCCGGCAAGGCACACGGAAGGGAGTGGGTGCCCAGCACCACGCCCGGCCGCCTTTGTCTCCCAAGCGGCGATGTTTACACACGCGCACCTGGTCCTAATTTAAGGCTGAGTCGAACCAGCGGTGGGGGGGGGCGGGGGGGTCCCGGGTCGGTTCAGATAAAATCGTCGCTGGCGATGGGGGGGGAATCGAACTCGGCTCGCCGGGTTGCGTACGTGCGGTCGCGCTCTGACCATCCCTGCGCTTCCGCTGCCCGCACGACGCGACGACAGGGCGGGAATCTGATCATGGTGGACAAGGTGAACGATCTGCGTATCATCGGAGTCATCGCCGTCACCTTTCTACTCGGCATCGCGCTGGCGGGCTTGGCCTGGGAGAACAAGGTGGGTGGCCGCGTCGGCATCGCAACCTCGCGAGGACATTTACACTTTGCGGTTGAACACGTGTGAGGCTTTCGCGAGCAAAATCATCCGTGATACAGGTTGTTTTTTGTTTGGGTTAGATCGCGTAAATATGTTATAAATGTGTCGTTAAGCCCGCCACCACTCGACACACCCAACTAGTAAGGGTTGTTACATAAACAGAACGTGCCAGTTCGTCACTAGTACAGCACTAACCGGTGTGCTGGAGAGCCAAGCGACAACATTTACAATCTGATTACGACGTTTCGCCAGTAATTACAACCGGCATCATCAGGCGGCAGCCAGACTTTTTTGGAGAAGTCCTCCTGCTGCGTTCCTTCAATCGAGGGGTAGACGCGATGGTGTCACACTCGTGAGCCCTTCACGCTAGAAGGCCGCTTTCACGCGAAGGCCGCCTTCACGCGCAAAGGCCAGCGGGTTCGTCTCTCGCCAAAGTCCAGTGAGTGTATAGGTGTCGCTGTGGGTACCGTTTTGGTGTCCACGTGTGGGTAGCGGGAGCTTCAGTGGCGATTTCAATGGGAATTGAAATGAGACGTATGGGGGTTTCCGCTACGGTCTTGGCAGGCAACAGCGGCGCTCTGTGAATAATGTGTCCTTCGTTTACTCACCACCTGTGCCGTGTTGCTCACCACCTGTGCCGTGTTACTCACCACCTGTGTGCCGTGTTACTCACCACCTGTGTGCCGTGTTGCTCACCACCTGTGCCGTGTTGCTCACCACCTGTGTGCCGTGTTGCTCACCACCTGTGTGCCGTGTTGCTCACCACCTGTGTGCCGTGTTGCTCACCACCTGTGTGCCGTGTTGCTCACCACCTGTGCCGTGTTGCTCACCACCTGTGCCGTGTTGCTCACCACCTGTGCCGTGTTGCTCACCACCTGTGTGCCGTGTTACTCACCACCTGTGCCGTGTTGCTCACCACCTGTGTGCCGTGTTGCTCACCACCTGTGTGCCGTGTTGCTCACCACCTGTGTGCCGTGTTGACTCACCACCTGTGTGCCGTGTTTGCTCACCACCTGTGCCGTGTTGCTCACCAACTGTGCCGTGTTCTCACCACCTGTGCCGTGTTGCTCACCACCTGTGCCGTGTTGCTCACCACCTGTGCCGTGTTGACTCTCCACCTGTTGCCGTTGTTCTCCCCCGTGTTACTCACCCACCTGTGCCGTGTTGCTCACCACCTGTGCCGTGTTGCTCACCACCTGTGTGCCGTGTTACTCACCACCTGTGCCGTGTTGCTCACCACCTGTGCCGTGTTGCTCACCACCTGTGCCGTGTTGCTCACCACCTGTGCCGTGTTACTCACCACCTGTGCCGTGTTACTCACCACCTGTGTGCCGTGTTGCTCACCACCTGTGCCGTGTTACTCACCACCTGTGCCGTGTTACTCACCACCTGTGCCGTGTTACTCACCACCTGTGTGCCGTGTTGCTCACCACCTGTGCCGTGTTGCTCACCACCTGTGCCGTGTTGCTCACCACCTGTGCCGTGTTGCTCACCACCTGTGCCGTGTTGCTCACCACCTGTGTGCCGTGTTGCTCACCACCTGTGCCGTGTTACTCACCACCTGTGTGCCGTGTTGCTCACCACCTGTGTGCCGTGTTGCTCACCACCTGTGCCGTGTTGCTCACCACCTGTGCCGTGTTGCTCACCACCTGTGCCGTGTTGCTCACCACCTGTGTGCCGTGTTGCTCACCACAGGCTCAGCTCATCTTCTTCGCGTTGATCATCATCGCGCTGCTGGACTATCTGCTGGGGACCGTCATGCCTTCCCCCCTCGATAAGCAGGCCAAGGGTTTCTTCGGCTACAACAGTGAGCGTCTCTCTCCGTTCCTCTTCTTCTTCTCCTCCTCCTCGTCGTCGTCTTTGTTGTTCGAGCACCAAAGACGGTGGTCGAGAAAGGGCCGTGGGAGCGAGGGGGTGGGTTGAGGTTACGAGACACCGCAGCCACAGGACACGCGGCCGTCTGACGAGGACCGATTGCAGTACACTCTTCGTTGCGAGGCCACCGCGCAGGCCACTGGCGGCCTCTGGAGGCCTTTAGTGCGGCCGCTGACAATACACAACACGTGACAACACCTCCATCATCATCATTAAACCCAACAATGCTTTCAAATGTGTGGCGTGGTCACTCACACACACTGTGCGACTTACTGGCGAAACGTCGTACTCAGATTGTAAATGTTGTGGCTTTGCTCTCCAACACACCGGTGTGCTGTACTAGTAACAAATTGGACACGTTCTGTTTACGTGACAAACCTTACTAGTTGGCTGTGTCGGGTGGTGGCGGGTTTAACGACACATTTATATTTTTACGCGATCTAACCCAAAAAATCCTGTATTATGGATTCTTCCAACACGTCTACTCAGCTCGGAAGAGTAGACCAAATTACCCGAGTCATTAAGCCATACAATTTGACGTCTAACTTAAGCGTCGACCGGCAGGAAACGTTTCACCGGTGTCCCGGGCACCTCGAGGCACGCCCAGGGTCGGGTCGCGGTTACGAGGGGTCGAAGGCGAACGAGAGCGAAGGGCCTAAGTGATGCACAGGACGTGCAGTATTACATATTACAGCAAAACACGATGGAGTCATCCAACATATTTATTAAATTAACAAATTAATTCGACAGGAATGTTAATCCGGCCCTGATCGCGCCACACGAATGGCTACGCGGTGTAAATAATAAACTGCGGTGATGGTAGTGATGATGATGATAGTGATGATAGTGATGATGATAGTGATGATAGTGATGATGATGATAGTGATGATAGTGATGATAGTGATGATGATAGTGATGATAGTGATGATGATAGTGATGATGATAGTGATGATAGTGATGATGATGATAGTGATGGTAGTGATGATGATGATGATGATAGTGATGATAGTGATGATGATGATAGTGATGGTAGTGATGATGATGATAGTGATGATGATAGTGATGATAGTGATGATGATAGTGATGATAGTGATGATGATGATAGTGATGATAGTGATGATGATGATAGTGATGATAGTGATGATAGTGATGATGATGATAGTGATGATAGTGATGATAGTGATGATGATAGTGATGATAGTGATGATGATAGTGATGATAGTGATGATGATGATAGTGATGATAGTGATGATGATGATAGTGATGATAGTGATGATAGTGATGATGATGATAGTGATGATAGTGATGATGATAGTGATGATAGTGATGATGATAGTGATGATAGTGATGATGATGATAGTGATGATAGTGATGATAGTGATGATGATGATGATGATAGTGATGATAATGCCCTCTGCTTCGCAAGCGACGATGGGTTTTTTGTTGCACGCCTTAGGGGCCGTCCATAAATGACGTCACGCACCTAGGGGAGGGGCAGACATTTGTGATGATGTGTAACGAGGGGGGGGGGGGTTGAGAAATGTGACGTCACATCAAAATGCGCAACTTTAAATAAATATAGAATTGTTATAACAACACTAATTGTTATAACAACACTCCTACAACATCAGAGTGCAGCACCACATTAAATACGCACTACAATGACAATAGTTTAAAGTGATTTGAAGCATATTTAATTATTTAAATGGAAAATATGGTTTTGAGGGGGGGGGGGGGCAGAGCTTTGTGACGTCATATTTGAGGGGGGGGGTCTGACTTTTTGTGACGCTGTGTGACGAGGGAGGGGGGGGGGGGTAAAAATCGTCCAAAATCGCGTGATGTAATTTATGGCCGACCCCTTATACTTTTTACACTCACGCCACCGATCTGCGTTTCCTTTTTTTTTTACAGCAAAAATCTTTAACGACAACTTCACCCCGTCTTTCCGCGGGCCGTACGACTTCTTCAGGCTGCTGGGCATCTTCCTGCCCTCCGTGACGGCCATCCTCACTGGCGCCAACATTTGTGGAGACCTGAAGGTAGAGGGAAAGCCGTTCATGCCCGTCAACTTTTACTTAATCTTCCACACAATGCCACGTAGGTGTAATGGGTTCCGGAGACACTTTGTAGATGCAACTTCTTTATTACAATACACCACTCCAACAGTCCTGATACACTGTTGCAGCCTAGGGACACAGCCTACTTCTAGCTTGCCTGACACTGGCTACGCTCTCGGGTCCTCCGGCTACAATTACCCTAGGGGAGGCTACCTGACCCGACCCAGCCAAGGTGCGGTTCTAGACTCTGGCTTCCTCAGACCTCGCCCTTACAAGGGAGTAGAGCCGGGAGTCCCAGAATCCCACTACTGGCCCAGGCAGCGTCCCGGCCCTTACAAGGACAAGCGGGGCGAGGAGGTCCAGGGTCCTACGCTGGCTGGTCTTCGTACTTCGTCTGCGACTGGTCCCGATCGGCTGGGGAGCGGCCCTTTTATCCCCCTTGCCCATCGAGGGGTGGGGTTGCGTGGGATTGTAGATCCCCCGCAGCCTCCCGTTGGTGGCGCCAAGGGGCTCAGCTTCCTAGGATCCTGAGCCCCCAGCAGCCCCCCCCCCTCTTGGGCTTGCACAGTGGCCCCTCCCCTGGGGGTCCGAGGTACCCCTGCAGATGGGTCCTGTCCACCACTGCCGGTAAGTGTGGCCCATCTACGGCACTACATAGGCACCAGGGTTGCCATCGGTCCCAGTGTTGGTTGTTCCCCGGGACGTCTAATTTTTGATGCAGTCATCTTGGGAAAACTGCATGAAGAGCCGTCCCTTGGATACATGGAGATTCACCGCGATTGCCCCGTGCCCCGTGCTTTAGGGGGCCCCATGCTTCGACGTCACGGTGTCAGATGCAAATGTTGGGGGGGGGCACGGTGGGTTTCACCCTGGGCCCCGCATCCCCCCTATGGACGGGCCTGCCCGTATGTAAACCCAGGACATTACAAGTTCTGCTTTTTGTCAATTGTCTAACAACAACAATGACAATAATACTCTACTCGGGCCAATGAACGTGTCGTTCTCCCCTCTTTCGTTATCTGTGAGATATTCTCCTGCGATGTCCCAGTATTTCTCGTTTGTACCTCTGGCAAACCTCATGAAATGACAAGTTGAGTGCCGCGTCACACTGACATAAGAACGGAGATGCAAAGGTGCGGCCCGCTTGCTTTCTGGGCTTTCGTGGGCCAGCTGTCAACGTTTTCCCTCTCGGACACTAAGCAATGGCCTTTGTTCTTTTAATGCAAGGACGAAAGGAAAGCAGAGGCAGTGTTGAGAGAGGGCGCTTGCCAATAAACCAGGGGCATTTATGACAAAATCTGCTGATGACACCCAGAAAGTTGGAACCAGTTGACGGTCGGCTTTGCCTAAGCGAATGCTTGCTGGCGGGTCTCAACGGCGAGTCGGGACAAGATGGCGGCACGTCCCCAACCGTCGGCGACTGCAGCAGAGTCGTTGACCATTCCGTTGAGTTTTGTTTGTGAGTTGAGCTATTACTTTACCTCTGTGAAAAAATAGCTTCATAGCTCATCGGACTGCTCCAATATAAATACATATTGTGATCCTGCTTTGTGCACCGCTGCTAAGTGAGCGTCGCACAACGGCTTCCGTTGTGGTGTTTCTTCGTCGAGTAAAAAGTCACCGTTCCTCGTGGACATTTCTCCGATTGCTCTCCGCCTTAGGAACCAGCCACAGCTATTCCCAAGGGGACCTTTCTGGGCATTGCCGTCACAGGATTGTCCTACGTCATGATTTCCACCACCATCGGTGAGTCATTCTCTGCATATATAACCGATGCATAACGTGTAATTCTATAAATGGATAGCGTGCCTTTCATGTTGTGTTTAGTATAATCTCATCTTAAATGCATTTTTTTGGATCAACACACATCCTGCAGACTCAATGTTTACTCAACTTCGTCATTTTCTTTCAACTGCAATTTCGCGATAAACTGGTGTCGCTGTAATTCTTTATCTGCTCGCGTTCACCGCCCCTGCTTAGCGATAGCGCAATGATCGATAACCCCCCCTTTCCACCGGCACATCCGAGCTACGCCAGCACGGGGCCCTCACAGTTACAGGAGTCGTGCTCTGCCGGCTCTTTGCCTCATCGAGCACGCAACCAAACGGTGATATTTGCCGGTCTCGCATCTCGGACCTGTGCTCGGGGCCAAGCAAGCGCCGAAGGGTGGGACTAACGACTCTTTGTCAGCGCGCCATGAGGACACGGCCATCGCGGCCATCGTCCGTCTCGCAAGCTGCGTCGGGCCCAGCGCGTTGCACTGTGGCCCTGGCGCAGCTGCCGGTCCCCACTGCGCTGTGGAAGGAAAAAGAAGGTTAGAACGTGAGATGTAGAGCATGCGTGACCCGCGTGCGTTGTTCTCTCACCCCACCCCTCCACACCAGGCTCCGTCGTGCTGCGAGACGCCACGGGCAACCTCTCCGACTCCCTGACATACATAGCGCCCCTGATAAACAACACGAACATCACGAGCACCGCCATGCCCAGCATCCTCTCCACCGTGCTGAGCAGCACGATCAACTCCACCATGCTGAGCAGCACGATCGACTCCACCATGGCGACCGCCAACACCACCATGGCGATCGCCAACTCCACCGTGGCGGCCGCGCGCGTGTGCACCTTCACCAAGACGGGGTGCGATCTCGGCTGGAACTTTGGCGCTTGCAACGTGACTACGAGCATCGCTCCTGGCTTCAGTCCCTGCAGCTACGGCTTCATCAACCAGTACCAGGTGCGTGAAAGAGCCGTCCCTGGCCTCGAGCCGGTGCTTTGCCGGCCTTTCCTCCGTCTTGCAATGAGCATGGGCAGGGGCCGGGGTTTAACTGGGCGCAGCAGCCGCTTTTGTGGCTGTAGCCCCAGTGCCTCAGATTTTAAGGGACCCGTTCAGTGATGCTTGAGACGCAACACACACCAACCACCGCCACGATAAATAATAATATACGTAACTTTGGTGATTGAAGCCGTAAATGTCATTGTATGCGTTGCTGCTGGTTTTGATTGAGCCTACTGTTGGTATATATCCCATTTAAAAACCAGAACTGAACTAACCAAGGTGAATAAGAACAGGGAGTTTGGCCATTAGGTTAGGGTGGTGGTAAAACTGGCAAGGGACGGTCGTCAATTTGGTCCTGAAAATGGAGCAGTGCTCTACAGGCCTGAGCTATTGATGTAAATTACATATGGGCATACTATGAGCCAGTCTCTTCATAGGGACAAATCACTCTTGACTTCTCGCAAAAGTGGTCGTAATTTTATTGATCTCAGAGGAATGATGGATTGAGTCCACTCCCAATGGGGATTTGAGTTATCTCTTTTGTAAGTTGAGTTTACCGAGCCGAATTGTTACTCAACTAACAAGAGTCTTTTGCCTGCAATGTAAGATCCGGCTGCTGACCTACGAGGCTTTCAGTGGGTTAGCCCCACAATATTTTCAGGAAATGATCCACTTTTATACTCCAACGATCTCCCTGAGATCTTAGGATCACCTTCTTTTCAGTACTCCGAGGCCAAGGCTCTGTTCCTGGGGTGATCGGGCTTTTGCCGGTGCAGCTCCCAAAGCTTTGGAACGCCACAGGATGATAGGACGCACGTCGGCCACCCTCCACGCCGCTGCCGATAAGAGGAGTTCTACCATACCGCTTGTGGCAAAAGTGGTTAAAATTTACGATGTGATGACGATGCGCGTCGCTAAGCGCTGTGCCCGTACCCGTGGTGTCTAGGTCATGGCGATGGTGTCTGCGTGGGCCCCCCTCGTCTACGCCGGCATCTTCGGAGCCGGCCTCTCCTCCGCTCTGGCCTCTCTCATCAGCGCGCCCAAGTGCTTCCAGGTGAGGAGAACGTTTGGCGACGGCGGTCTGTTGCCGGATTTGCTCCGTTGGCGTTACGCGCTTCCTGTGACCAAATCACACGGGTCATGCCCGATCTTGTCACATCTCGGAAGCGAAACAAGGGGGAGAACCAGCGCAGCGCTTGGACGTGTGACCGCCGTGCATGGCATAGGCGTTGCAGGTTGGGTTGCCACCTTGTCCTGGTTTTCCCAGGATCGTCCTCTTGTTGATCTGGCTGCTGTCTTGATAAATCCGCCAGTCTTCCCGCGACATTAAAAGTCCCGGTATTGGTCAGCTGTGCATTACTACGCCACTCTAGACAACGCATGTGCACGTCGTTCTTCTTCTCTTCTGGTCTTGTGAGAAATTATTTTAGCTTCCCATCATATTCCATGACATGGCAATCATAGTTGCAGGCCGCTGCAAGGCGCATTCCAGATGATTTTCAAAATTCACTGTTGTACTGTACCACGCTCCCACATCTATGGTCCGCACCTTTACCAACCCACAATGACCAGCGTGGTGAAGTATGATACAAAAAACCTCCACCACTTGCAACGATGCGGGGAGGCCCTCATCCAGCAGTGGATTGACAACAGGGCCGCACGTGTACACGTTGTGCTACGCGATAACGGTGCGGTCCACTGGTCTACTTGCAGGCTCCTGTTGGACTCTGTCGGTTTGTTTTTGTTGCTGAACTGTGTTGTGCTTCTTTCAGGGAGTGGCCAGGGATAACATTTACCCTGGAATCACGATCTTTGGCAAGGGCTATGGCAGGAACCAAGAGCCCATTTTTGGGTACCTGCTGGCCTACACCATTGGAATTTGCTTCATTTGCATTGGTAGGTCTGCTTCGCGTGTTCCCCTCACATCCACGTGTATTTTTTAATCTGGTACTTTGTCAAACTTGCCGACCTTACAGAAACAACATCGAGGCAGGCCGGTGCCTGCCCAGGTGAAGAATTTACCCAGATTGCTTCAGACTCGCGGAGAGACCCACAGTCACGCATAGAGTGCTTTTGTGGAATATTGTTTTTTTTTATACAAATAAGCAAAGTAATAGATGGGAATAATAATTGTAACTAGAAGTTGGAACAAGAGAGTCAAAGTTGATTTCCTGCTGCTCAAATCAGCATTGAGGCGGTACTCATCTCATATTTACAACCCTGAGCCCGTTGTGGAATTTCCACATCCCTATGGCACAAACTGATGGCTACCCCACAAAGTTTTGACATCACATGGGATCATGACATCATCGCATTTGCACACGTGACCAGTAATCTCGATATCTTGTCTCCAGGTCTCTTCACTCTCCTGTCTCGCTTTGATCTCACCAATATGAATTCCTTGTCCAGAGCACTCGCACCTCTATCTCTTGCTCATCTCCCATCTTACTACGAAGCTCCATCCCTTCATGCCTTGGCGAGCCATATCTCTTGGCGCGTCACTCTAAAAGCCTTCTTGGGCCCGGTGTTTTCACGCCGGCTGCCCGTCAACGAATCAATCTTGGCGTAGAGTGTGTTTCGTCGAGCAGGTGTTGCATTTATGCATTATGTTGAACTTCTTTCGCACCGTACGTAGCCCAGCGTGCTAATCGGAGGTGTGGGATGCGTGTCGACTACAGCGGTGTGCGGTGAGGGCTTACGGAGGCCGCCGGTTTTAAATGGGATGGGTGAGCAGACGTCGTTCTAACAAAAAAAAAACATTGTGTTACAGCTGACCTGAACCTGATCTCGCCTATCACGGCCTGCTGCTTCCTGAACACCTACGTCATCCTCAACTTCAGCGTCTTCCACTCCAGTGTGGTGAAGGCTCCAGGTGAGCGGGGGGCCCATCCACTTGGCGACACATCGCGACCACTGCCGTAGAAACAATGACGATGGTGTGCAGAGTTTAATTTTACATAAAAAAATTTAAATGGAACCTCTCTTTAGAAATGTCGTTAGGTTTACAGAGCCGCCGTGGCACGAGGTGTACACGTCTTTCTTTTGTGCACGCAGGCTGGCGGCCAGACTTCAAGTACTTCCACCCGGCGATCGCCATCATCACCATGGTGTTTGACATTGTCATCATGTTCCTGATCCTGTGGTGGGGAGCCGTCCTCTCGCTGGGAATCTGGGTCGTGCTCTACTTCTACTGCATGTACAAGAAGCCAGGCACGTTGGAACTCATCGCCCCTTACCAACTTATGCATTTTCCTCATAAACTAAACATGTGAACACATCCTGTTAAACCCAGTTTGTTTATTACTAAATTATACACTGTCCTTCCTAAGGAGGAAAACAAACCACAAGTAGAAGTCCATTCCGCATCTCCCAATAGAATTATGTATTATTCCTTCGGCCAATTTGGCTTTCCAGACCAATGTAATCCAGCAGCATTTGGTTAAAGCAAGCAAAAGCTGGATTAGTTTCGATCTTCTTGGTCTCATCAGGAGAGTCAGGCTTGTTTAAAATAAAAGATCTGTTTGCCAAGACAAAAAATGTAATGTGTTTATTTCTCACGCAGAGGTCAACTGGGGTTCATCAGTGCAGGCGATGGGCTTCCAGACCGCTCTAGCCACAACACTGAACTTGGACAACGTCAAGGAGCACATCAAGGTTTTCAGGTAGAGTTGTTATCACATCACGCCAGGCCGAGACTACAGTGCTGGCAGTTGGGCAGCTTGAATCACGAAGCGCGGACACTGGGTTCTCGTTATAAAGTCATCCGTGTGTTGTTTGGTATTGGTGCCATTGTTACAGCAGCAAGGCTATCGCGAAGTCACTGTCGCTCAAAGTCGAGTACCGTCTGCAGTAGTTTTACACCGGGGGGTTGGGAGAGAGGAGAATCAATGTTGCCGTATTCAGTCATTTGCGAGTAACTTTGAAATTTGGCAAATACAGACCGTGATCCCGGGACACGTGGCCCACTCCTTTCCCGATAACGTCACGGGATCTTCGTAGTCCACCATGCTGTGGAGTGGACGGCACACTCTTTGGCTCAGACACCTGCGGTATTAAATCGGGGTGGCCAAAGTCACGGTTTGCGAAATCCGTAGATAACTCCACGCGCATGTTGCGGTCGAGCCGCGTCGTGTGTCATTGGGCACGACGTCTGACGTTTCACTCCACGAACCCCGGTGAGCTTCTATCCATGCCAGCACGCAGAGCAAAGCGCCCGCGTCGCGCCGAAAGTACGCAGCGTGAACACGCGTCGGAGGGAGAGAGCCGTGCAAAAAAATCTCAAAGGTCGCAGCGACGGACGCTGCACGCGGAGAGCTCGCGTCGACTCTTCTGACGAGCCCTGTGACCCAACCGCTTCCTGCAGGCCCAACTGCCTGGTGCTCACGGGGCCTCCGCACCTGCGGCCGGCGCTGGTCGACTTCGTGGGCACCTTCACCAAGGGCGTCAGCCTCATGGTCTGCGGCAACGTCGTCGTGGTACGTACGTGCGCAACGGGGGGAGGGCCGCATGTTCAAAGCAACGTTGCAATGTACGCGACGATGCAACCAGATTTGTCGTCAGTGCGGTCACGTGGTTTGTTCTCTTGTAAAATGTAACTGAGCTTAAAGGTCACGGTTTCAAATTAACGGTTTATTCGTGCTCGGTATAGAAGGCGGTGGTGGCTCCGCGCGTGGGCTGTAATTAAGCACGGTGGAGGTGAGGGTTGGTGGATCGCACCACTGTTTGTGGATGTTGTGGAAGCCATGAGGATGTCGTACAGAAAAAACGTGGAATCCACCTGTTTTGTCTGTACGGGATTTCTCCAGGTGCTCCGATTTTCCTCCCACATATAAGCACTCATGAATTGGCCGACATCACCTTAATATAATAGAGAATCGCAGAGCTTCGGAAACTGTTGGCACCGGCTCACCACATGGCTGCCTTCCTGCTTGTCTGTGGTTCCGCACGCCTCTGAGTCATTCACTACTAGAGCGAGCAAACACCATGCCACGGCGCGTTACAAGTTAAACTAATCGTTTTTATTATTACGAAGGAAATGTTTCACGACGCTCATTCTCACGAAGTGTTCGACACGAAGGAGTGAGTGGAAGCGGCGTTTTTCTCGAACCTCCCCCCCCACCACCTCCCCGGCAGGCGGGCCCCAACAAGAACCAGATCTGTGACTTGCGGCAGACAGAGCACGGCAAGTGGCTGCGGCACCGGAACATCAACTCCTTCTACACGGCGATCGTGAGCAACAGCCTGAACGAGGGCGCCTCTGCGCTGCTCCAGGTAACGAGGGCTCAGGCTTTAGTTTCGCCATGGCCCGGCTGGAGCGCAACAGGGGATGACGGCCAACCATGGTTGGCCGTGTTGCATAGGTACAGGCGGTCCCCGCTTTTTTACGATGCAATGCGTTCCGGGAATCTCCGTCGTAAACCGGGCCATCATAATCCGGAGACCGCCTGCACTTGGTTGTCTTCCTGGCAGAAGCCGTTGGCGTGGAATGTGGAAGTGACGACGCAATCCCTAGCGCAACGGCTTTTTAGACAGCTCGAGGGATCTTCTCACTACGGCACTCGTTTTTACTTTGGCTTACGACGCATTTTCTCTCTCGCTGAATTTAGGATCGTAGGCTGCTAAACTAACGACAGCATTGTAAGGGATTATTGTGTACTCTGGCCCCAGGTTAGTCACTCATAAGTTAAGATGAAGTACATTCAATTTTGATTTAAAGCTTTCGTGACTGCAGGGATTCATATTCTTGGTTCTTTCGGTAAAGTCACGTAAAAGGGAGATAATAAAATAATATAAATATAAAACAATACAAATTCTCACGACGTTTCGACTGCAACACAAGCAATCATCATCAGGTGTGAAATCCACGGAAAGAAAATTTGAAAAAAGTGGCGGTTTTTCCTAACTCATCCATCGTCCATCTGGCAAATTGCCAGATGAATTCGTCCATAGTCCATCTGGCAAACTGCCAAATCACTGTCTGTGGTGCTGACGTTAGGAAAAACCGCCACTTTTTAAAAATTTTCTTGCTGTGGATTTCACACCTGATGATGATTGCTTGTGTTGCAGTCGAAACGTCGTGATAATTTATATTGTTTTATATTTATATTATTTTATTATCTCCCTTCTACGTGACTTTACCGAAAGAACTAAGAATATTAAGTACATTCCCAGATGTTTTGGCCCAACGTTCCCTGTTGATCAGGAGATCAGAGCAGCTGCCCTGGAGTAGCAGCCATATCGACCAGGGGGGGTAAGACGGTGTCAGAGACCTGCACTGGCACCACTGAGGGCTTGGGTTCGAACCCAGGATGGTGCCTGCGACTATACCAAGTTCTCAAGTTCAGCCAAGTTATGGCTTCAGCCAAGTGACATTTTACTCAATTTGGCATATTGCAGCTCTGAGAAAAACATTTTTTATATAAATTAATAATCATACACTCTTTCTTCTCCACCTGATGACGACCGCTTGTGTTGCGATCAAAACGTCGTAGTGTTTGTTATTTTCTTTGAACCTATCTACGTGACTTTACTGAAAGACCCAAAGAATATACACGTGAGTTTGAGTCACATTTTAATGCAAATACTTTTTACAAGGCACTTACGACTGGTCCAGGACATGGTCACATGTCGGGCACCACTCACGTACGAAGGCCAGGGAACACATTCTTGTTCCAGCTTGCTGCTTCATCTCTACACTACTGCTCCCATTCCTAATACACACACATACCAGCCTTTGGGTGGTGCTGGTGTGATCACGGTGTTTGTGCCAGGCTAGGTGCACATTGAGGCCATGCGGAATGGTGGAGGATCTCTGCAAAGATTCTTCGAGCGGTGCGGTGCCGCAAACAACTTCCCGTTTAGCTTGCGTGAAGTCCGCCGTGCGTGCGTAGACCTCGGGTTGGCGGCAACCGCGTCGCGCCAACCCGAGGTCTAACGGGCGCATCGACGATGCCTCCCCCCCCCCCCCCCCCCCACAGAGCACGGGGCTTGGCAAGCTGCGTCCCAACTTGGTCTTCCTCGGCTTCATGAACTCGTGGCTCGGAGAGGACCCCGCCACCGTGCACGACTACGTGCAGATCATCCAGTGAGTGCCACTTCCCACCCCTCGCCAGCGCGCGGTTACCTCTGATAGTGCGTCACGGGAAGGATTGTACATTCATAAAGAGTTGCGCTTTAAGCAACGTACATGCTGCTTAGTTCGGATAAAAAAAAAACACTTCTGAATTAACTTTTTACTTTTATAACCTTGCTGTAGCGGGCTAGTGGCTACGACACAAGATGTCCAGAGTGGTATTCTTCTATTGTTGCACAGCCTATGATGAGCCAACTACTAGATATTTAGTTGTAAATGATGTAGCTGCACTCACCCACCCCACTCACCCAACCACCCATGTGTACGTTTGGGGCGGTGGGAAGTTACGTGCAACCAGGATCTGGATGGAATTCGTAAGCTGTAGCCGCGCACAGAACGAGATTGTCTGACTTTAAGCTCGTACCTTCTGTGTGAAAAGATACCACAGGTGTGCATTGAGTGCAATTTGGTGGCAGAGTTTTTAAGTGCGCACGTGAAACGTTTGCGGGACGGGTTTTGCAATTCTCCTTGCTTTTTCGCAGCAACGTGTTCGACTACAGCATGGCACTGGCCATCCTGCGCGTGAAAGAGGGCCTTGACATCAAGAATATGCCCGAAGTTCAAGGTGAGATATCTCGACGGAGCATGGAGCTTCACGTATCGTTCTCCCCTATTGCGGTGCTGCGAGAGATATTCACCTTCCCACGATGTGTCCTCGTTTTTTGTACCTCAGAGGTGGCAACCCCCAACTCCCTGCTCAATCAAGTGTGGGGGTGGGTGCTAATTTACACTTTCAGAACTTGAGAAGTGGTAGAAGCGTCACATTACAGGCAGTCCTCGACTTACGAACACCTGACTTACGAACACCCGACTTACGACCACCCGACTTCCAAACACCTGAATTGAAACGCGGAACTATTTTGTTCAGTGGGAGCGATCCTCCGCGAGATGTAATGAGTCAGCCTTGTGCTGGGAGTGAGCGTTTGTGTGTACGTGCGTGTGCGTGTGTGAAAGTGTGTGGGGAGCGGTAGTGCAATGGTAAGCGCACCGTGCAACCAACCTGGCATCTCGAGTTAAATTGCTACTCACGACCAAACCAGTGACGATTATCTGAACGTATCCTGGGCCTCCCCTAGGTTGACTCAGCCTCAAATGAGTACCTGGTGCGGTGTGTAAACATCGTCACTGGGGAGACAAAGGCTGCTGGGCGTGGTGCTGGCCACCCACCCCCTCGTGTGCCGTGCAGGCCTTCATATAGGTGCTGCTTGCTAACAGCACTTGCCCTAACAGCCTGTGAAGACGACAAGGGGGATCGTTGTAGTTAGTGTGTGTGTCTGTGTGTGTCTGTCTGTGTGTGTGCGTGCAATTGTGGTTACTCATTGCGCCCCTTCTGACAAGCAAGCCAGCATCAGGACTCCAGGTAAATGAAAATAAAACAGATTTTATATTTTTATATTTGTGTTACTTTATTTTACGTGTTATTTACTGTAGAGTATGTATTATAGTGCCACATGCAAATTCACAACATTTCTTATTTATGAGTTTAACGATGCTTCCTCTTTTTGTTGAACCGTAACACATTTTATAACACTGACGGTATTGGCATTTACAGTGAGTTAACGTGTTCTGACTTACGCACCATTCCAATTACGAACGGGTCTCAGGAACGAATTGTGTTCATAAGCCGAGGACTGCCTGTAATAATGAAAGGAGTCTGTGGGACGACCATTGCAAACTTGCAACAAGGCTGGCACTCACTCACTTCGTCAATTCTTGAGTAACGATGGGCTGAGCTGAACACCGATCAGGAATCGCTCACGCAATTGTTTGATCTTGAGTCCGGCGCCTGCGATGGAGACACCGGTCCATGCCAAAATAGCATCTGGAAAGAAACCCAACTTGCACTTCATAAATCAAGCGACCTTCACGGAGAGGCCCTCATCCACCGGATATTTTGACGGGAAGGAGCTGTAACCTGCACGCGCATGCTGTTCGCACCCAAAATCCAAATGTGGGGTTAAGCACCGAGCACGTTTTTCCCCTTGCTCAAACATTCACACCGCACGCCGTGTGTCCGCTGCCCCCTGCAGTCAACATGGCTTTCCAGTTCGATGGCAGCGGCGGCGGCGTTGGGAAGGTGTCCGGACTTGTCGCGAAATCAGCGTAAGTACTGCGTGACGGCACCAAACTGGCGGTACGGATGTAGACACAGCCTACAGGATAAAGAGCTGCTGGTTTGTTTCGACACTCATAGGCCATGTACTCCAAAGCGAACGCAGTTTCTCAACCGAAGCGGAGTTGAGGCTGGATAGCGCTTGGATCGGTCACCAACATGTCTAACAGTTGTTATAGGCGGCGGGGCTACTGAGCGGAGAGCAGAGGGTAGTGCAGAAAGTATATACTTCTATCAATCCGCACCGACCAGCACGGTGAAGTATGATCAAATATTGCCCCAACCTTGCACAGCTTGGGTAGGCCCTCATCCAGCCGTGGCGCGACATAACGGTTGTTCGGCACACATTATACGTGACAATTTTCTGAAGGAATTTATATAACTAAATATGCAGCTTGTTGCTAACCTCACCAACACCGCAGCGTCACTCACACGCAGACATCGCGAGTCGCCGCTATTTGGTGGGAAGTGCTGCGGCGTTGTCATGGGCAAGTGTCGCACTGTGAACAGCAATTAATGACATTTTCCTTTCTGTTCCCATTTTGTGTTCCAGCTTGAGCATGGACGTGGATCAGACCGAAGGTAACGAACCCTCCCCAGGGTTGCAGTCGCCACTCTGTTGGGGCGTCACCCCAGGGCTAGTCGAGGGGCCTTCGGTGGCGCCGGTCCATGCCACCGAGCGCTGCTGCGACTTCACTCCTTAATGTTTTCACAAACAAATCGCTGTCAACCTGGCCACGAGACTTATTGGAATGCCAGCCGTGACCGACACCACTGAGCTGGGATACCTGAACTGGTCCTAGGGCACCCCCCCCCCCCCCACCTCCCTTTTCACCAATCCGTAATCTTGCCCCTTGCAATGCAATGTATGTAGGTATGCATGTTGAACTTCTTTCGCACCGTACGTAGCCAACCGTGCTAATTGGAGCTGCGAGGAAAGAACAAACTAAACACAAAAAAGCAGTTCTTTATAAATTGGTTTTCAATCTAGACGATGATTTAAAGGTGCATCCCTCCAGTGGCTTCCTAATATCGGAAGGAGTGTTCCAGACGGCCGCCGAAGCGCACCCGCAAGCGTGCGACGCGGCGACCGTCTTCACGTCTGTGTTTACCTTTGCGGAAAAAAAAGGTCGACCGTGGTTGTGAAATTCTCTCTCGGCTCATCTTTCTCGTCCGGTCTGCAGACAAGAACGGCGCGCCAGAGGCGATGCCCCAGATCAGCACCGTGTTCCAGTTCAGCCAGGGCAAGAGGACCATCGACATCTACTGGCTCTTCGACGACGGCGGTTCGTCTCTTTGTCCGCGCAGTAACGACACGCGCGTGAATGGGTGTTCTACGTAGTGTTGGATAGTAACGTCTCTCGTGTTTGTTTTTTACCACGCTCGTTTGTAGACCAGGAAAGCCTCACGGAATCTCAGTGTTTTACTGTCAGGGCCGATGGTTGCTGCTGTGGATTTTCATGCTTGCAAACTTGAACCGGCGGGAAGGGGGTATTGATAATTCTGTCAATTTAATCTCGTTTCCATATTTGTTAATCTATACAATATTCATACAGTTTGGACTTGTGACGGTATTAATGCTAGCGTCTACTTGTTATTACATTGCATGAATTGTGAGAGGTGGTGGCGGCTAGGAGAGGCCTTCATCCAGCTGTGGATTGACCATAGCTGATTGTGATGACGTCGATGACATTTAGGTTTTCCATTTTTAAATGTTCCTGCCGCCTCTCGCGTTGCTCTCCCACAGGCATGACTCTGCTCATCCCCTACCTGCTGAGCAAGAAGAACCGATGGGGCGAATGCAAGATGCGCGTCTTCATGGCAGGGAAGCTGGACCGGCTGGAGGAGGACAAGCAGAAGTAAGGCTCCTCCACCCGTGCTCAGACACTCACGGCTCACATCCCGAAGGGCCACGATTTCAATTTATACGGTGCTCGGTTCAAATGCCCCCGCATACCTTGCATCACATCCCAACTCGACGGTTTGATGCCCTACTGTAGCTTAAGCCTCGGGCACTCCCACCCATGTCAGCAGTCCCTGTGCGGCATGAGGTGATGAATGAAGCACCTCCCTGTGAGTGCCAGTAGGGGGCCACGCTGCTATTTTGTTTTCCCAATCGAGTAATTTGTGGTGTCGTTTTTCAAATTTGGTCAATTCTGGACTGTGATGCCGACCCACGTGGCCTGCCCTGTGGGTATCGTACGGGTTACCATATCACCAGGTCACCAGGTCACCATGTCACCAGGTCACAATGTCACCAGGTCACGGCATTATCCAGAGCATCCCGCTTGCAGAAGCCCTTCTGCCAGCAGTGGCACGAGTGAGCAATTTTCAGGACCGCGCCTCTATCTTAAACCGCCAAGTACAGTGCAGGAGTAAAATGTGGTGGCGAGAGTGACGGAGCGATGATGCGCTGCCCCCCTCTCTCCATGTCCCCAGCATGTCGCGGCTCATCGCCCGCTTCCGCCTGAACGTGGACGACGTCATCATCCTGACGGACGTCAACAAGAAGCCACGTGCCGACAAGTGAGAGACGCGTCCCCCGACGTGTGAGCGTGCTTCCAGCCCAAGGCCGTAGTTAGAAAATATATTGGAGGGGACACATCCCCCCCAATAATCAAATATGCTCAAAATGTCCCCCCCAAAAATATTGCTATAAAATAGATTTGTGTTTATGTGATTGTGGTTATGGTTGTACTTTATTAATCTCTAATCTCTGCCATTACATACAATGAAACAAGAAAAGGTAATAAGTATAACCCGTAAAAACAAAGTTTTTCACTATAAATCCTTTATATGCGTGGCAGTGAACTTAATATAAAGGATTAAAAAATATATTCGCCTGTGGAGGACGCGGGGATCGATCCCGCTACCAACTGCGCTACTCCGCCACGGCCTGTGGAGGAGTTACGCTCTTGGCTCTTACACTCTGACGTTCAGCCAAAGCCATGAATTAGTTCTATTTGAATATATGTAAAATACATTTTTTTTGCCTAAAAAGTGTAAAATTTTGGGAATTTTTTTTCACGAACAATAATTGTCTGGCACAACGAGTCTGTGTGGGAAATGTCAGCTCGATTGGATCACGGGAAGTGGGTTAAAAAACGACCGAAAGATTTGCACGGTCCTAAGCAAGCAAGCAAGCACGCGAACTTAATATTAAGGATTTAAAAAAATAAAAAACAGAGCAATGGAACACAATACACTATTAGACATTATTGTAAAGAATAAGTAAAAAGTCCATCCTACAGTATGTGTTCGTGAATTTTTAAATTTAGATTTTTTTTCTGGGGGGGGGGACCCCAGACCCCCTGGAAGATTTGGTGACCCCCAATGTTGACTCCATGACTACGGCCTTGTTCCAGCCAATCAGCGAGCATCCCTACGCTACGTGCAGGTTGAAACCGGAGCGCCCGGAGAAAACCCCTCGCGCGCGACGAGTAGACATCGTTTGTGGTATAGCCGGAATAACCGTCACGATAACTCACTAATAACTCTTGTAACCGTCACAATAACTCGTGTACCCTCCCCCAACTGCTCCGGCGGCCCACAAGGATGAAGTACTTTGAGGACCTCATCATGCCGTACCGGCTCAACGACGGATTCAAAGACCCCGCCGAGGTGGAGCAACTGCGCAAGGATTGCCCCTGGAAGATTTCCGACCACGAGATTCTCACCTTGCGCGAGAAGGTCAGCGGCAACCGTTCGCAAAACAACACACATTCGACCGAAAGTCCTGACCATTTTTTTTTAATCGGGGAGGAAGCAGGGCGGGGGCGGGGGTGTTTGATAAGATTGTGAAAGTTACCGTTTGAGCTCCCTCGTGTGTGTAAATGGGTGTCGGTTAACCGTGTTATTACATTTTGGGTGGGAATTTCTTCGGACGTCCTCTGCGGAGATGGCGCAATGAAATCAGCTCGTGCGCAGGGGCCAGATGGATTGTTGCATTGCATGACAGAGAGAGATGGTGATAGTTTGGGGAGAGGGTGGCTCCATCCACCAGTTGATGGATCATGTCTGGCTATGGAGGAATTAGCTTAATCTATTTGTATGCATCCTTTATTTAATCGGGATACGTAATAAACCCATTGAGACGGATATATCATCATTGCCTCTTTCGCAATGTGAATTTCATTAAAACAACTGGCAAGTAGAGGAAATTGAAAAAGGTACGCAGGATGCGATCAAATGTAAACAGTCGAGAAACATTCACAACAAACATGGCCAATCATGCCGTCAGGAGGCCACGCGGTGCCAGCATCAGGGGGCACCGCGTGGGCCCTAGGCGGCGCCTCCTAGCGGCCGCGCCCCAAGCTCACGTGTTCTCTCGGTCCCCCTCTTCCAGACCAACCGGCAGCTGAAGCTGAACGAGCTCATGCACGAGCACTCCAAGGACGCCGCGCTCATCGTCGTGTACGTACACCCCCGATCGCTCACACGCTCCCGGGCGCTCCGACGTCTCGCGATAACGCACCGCGTGAAAACACAGATCCACGTTGTTCGCCGCAACGTTTGAAGCTGGGTTGTGTGATTATCATTACGAAGCCGGATAGCGTGAACATAGTTGGAGAAAAAACACATTTAGTGCTTCCGCTCCCACGTGGGTGCCACTGGACGGGAGGTGGTGGGCAGGGCTTTGTGATGTCATCGGCATCAACGGGCCACGTTATATTGGGCATGGTTTGTAGGGGGTCTCCCAACTTCGTTTGAAATGTTTTGTCGATGAATAGGCCCAATCGTCCCCGGCACAGCCGGCAGTTCCCAGCGGCCCTGCAACTCCTGCAGTGCAAACAATTACCATTCAGGGCACCCGAGTTTCAGTGGAATCTGGGTGCAATGAATATTGTATTATACGCAGGTGATCTCGTCGTGGCACTGCACAAATAACGGGGGTGCACCCGATCTCCACTGAGATCGCGGAAGCCAAGCAGGAGATGAGCCTGGACAGCGCCTGGATGGGCGACCACCACCGTGCGTAAAGCAGGAGCTGCTCCTGCAGGGCCTCGTTAGTAGAAGGCAGTTGCAGCAGAGTCCAACGTTGCAGTGTACTTCTGTGCTCCTTCATCCACACTCTCCGCCGTCACCAACACGTGATGACCGGTGGGGTGAAGCATGGTCAAATCACCCCCACGATCCCCATCGCGGGTGCTTTACGCGTACGTGCTCCGCAGTCTGTAGCGCTGTGTACGATCCGTGCTGTCGCTGTAGCTGAACACGCGTGCGTTTCCGCGTGTTGGTTTGTGCCGTGCAGGAGCATGCCTGTGATCCAGAAGGGACGATGCCCGTCGGCGATGGGCATGGCCTGGCTGGAGGTGCTCAGCCGGGATCTGCCCCCAGTGCTCATCATGAGGGGCAACCACACCAACGTGCTCACCATCTACAGCCAGTGATCCACCCCGGCACGGCCCAGCCACACATTCACCCCCGCTCGCTCGCTTGCTCACACGCACGTGCTTACACACGCGTGTATGCTACATTTGCATGCACATGCGAATGTACAGTCGTACACGCCCTTGTAGACGCATCACCAAAGGCAGTGGTGGCGCTAGGCACAGAGCAAAAGCTTAGGGACAAAGCAGCTCAATGGGGCCTTGGATTAATGATAAAACATTGGGGGTATGCACGAAATAGCATCTTAAATTCGAATAAACGTAACGAGCTAATTAACATAAACCAGCTCGTTAATCTCTCTCATCTCTATTTTGTCTGCGTATCTCTTCTCGTATCTCGGTACATCTCTACGTTTTGTCTGTACCTCTTCTAGTCTTCGCGCATTTTACACGTTTAAAAAGTGGCGCTCGCAAAAATAGTTACGGCTTATGGCGCGTCCCCCCCCCCCCCCCCCCCCCGCAATGGGTTAAGCCCCACACCACTGAACGCACCTGTGTAAGCATCGTCACACATCATTGTATACACGTGTGCACGTCAGATATGCAGGCGCACGCTTTCCCCGCACCTCCAATTAGTACGGGTGGCTACGTACAGTGAGAAAGAAGTTGAACGTACATACACTTTGAAGTGTGTCTGAAAAAGCTCAGTACAGTGGCCAGTTACGTTCAGGACCACCGATAATAGAGCGGTAGTGAAGCTTCGTTTTAAATATATACGAATACACCTTTGGCAATATTTGCTGGCCAATAATGACAACCAAAAGTGCCGAATTAGTCAACGAGAACGCGACGGAATTGTGTTCCATTTTTAAAAGAAGCTGGGCTCCCACTAGATGACTGAGTCCCAATTGATATCATGCAACGAGCTAATCAAATGAATGAGCGCCTGTAATCCTACTTATATAATATATAGAGTTATAAATTGCGATGTTGAAATGTATAACCTGGGTAATCTGCACACTGTTTTGTTGCCTGTGAAGGCTGTACAATTATCACTTTTATTTTCGCATTGTGCACTTATAAACAGATGTAAACTCCGGAGAGACGTGTAAACACTGATGAAGCTTGGCATTTGGTGGTCAGTCTTTGAACAAGCGATTACCTGTAATTAGGCAACTGCATTTATAAAATGTGAATGAAATGCTAAGGTTTTCAGCTCTTTATTGCCAGTGCGGACTGCAGAGCAGTTGACCTTTAACATCAATATGAAGAGCACAACATGTGTGAACTGTGTCATCCCAAGTGGCCCATTCACTTAAGAACTACAGTAGAACTTCCCTTATCCGACTCCCATTATCCCTGGAACCTACATGGTCTACATAACCTCCAATTATGCACGCACATATTCTCACTATTATCTGCGTTTGCAAGTGTTTCTTTCCCATCATGGGTTACGGCACGGCTTCCTGTTGAGAGCTAATTGGCAAAATGTATCTTGTTTGCGATTAGCTGCCATTTTTCACGGATGCCGGGGATTAAATTCGCAAAATAAAATCGCGGATAATGGGAAACAAAATGTTTATCACCCCCCCCCCCCCAAATCACCGTGGATAAGAGTTAGACTGTGGAGAAAGAGTTATTTGCACGTGAAACTTATGGCCGGATGAAGTGACAAATGTAACATTTGAATGCGGGCGAAAAGTCTCTAGGGATTGCCGGGTTGTCACAGCGCTGTGCCATGTGTCCAGTTTGCAGCCGGCAGTTTGATTCCTGCAGCCGGTAGTTTGGTCAGTTTGCAGCCAGCAGTTTGATTCCTGCAGCTGGCAGTTTGGTCTGTTTGCAACCGGCAGTTTGATTCTTGCAGCCGGCAGTTTAATCAGTTTGCAGCCGGCAGTTTGATTCCTGCAGCTGGCAGTTTGATCAGTTTGCAGGCGGCAGTTTGATTCATACAACCGGCAGTTTGGTCAGTTTGCAGCCGGCAGTTTGATTCTTGCAGCCGGCAGTTTAATCAGTTTGCAGTCGGCAGTTTGATTCTTGTAGCCGGCAGTTTAATCAGTTTGCAGCCGGCAGTTTGATTCTTGTAGCCGGCAGTTTAATCAGTTTGCAGTCGGCAGTTTGATTCCTGCAGCCTACCAAAGGGTCGCTGTTCAACGTCATCAAAGCGTGCCACCGGATGCAAAGTTGACATTAAAAGATCTATAACAGTAACGCTTGAAAGCTGGACTATTGAATTATGGTACTGTTGTTAATAAATATATAAAATACACAAATTGTATTGTTATCCATAAAAACCCTCGCCCCCCCCCCCCTTGTTACAATATATAATTTACGTTGATGTTCAGACGATTACAAATGTTTGACCGCGTACTTCGCCAGGAGGATGTACACATGAGACGCTACTTTTTATCTGGATTCCAGTTGATCGTTGCTCCATGTAAAGGTCGCATCTGCACAGCGATCTCTGCTCACCTTACATGACGCTTCTATCGAATTTCCACCACCACCTAGCATGGAAGAGGCCCTCAATGGGAGAGGTTCTCTCGTGCTCGCTCTAGGGGAAGGGCCACTCTCTCACCAGCAGTGGTGTGAGCAAGCAATTGCCACTGTGTGGCAGGGTAAGCCACTTTCGTGCACTCACCCCAACACACTGTGTGCATTCCCGCACAGGAAGATTGTTCTGCGGTCAAGTAAAAAACAAGATGAACTCTTGTGTATTTTGCAAAGACTGCAGCATTAGTAATCCTTTGACAACGACGGGGTTACAAAATAGCTTTGCATTTGTAGACAACAACAAAACCAACTTTGAGGGCATTTCCATCCTTTAAACTCTGCGCTAAGACTTTGTGTGAAGACGACTGAAGCGTGTAGACTCCACTTGGGGTTCTTCCCTTTGCGTTTCCTTTCCTCCTTCACCAGACGGCGGTGTCCCTTCACCCATCAGCTCGACTCTCAAATGGAAACGGGTTCATTCTGTGGCAGCAAGTCTCAATGAGCACACATTAAACAAGTGCTTGCACTTTCAATGCTCTCAATGCCAGTGTATGGGTATACCACCACACTGTATTAGCGATGGCCCCTGTTGTCTGCATTGGAGATTTTAACGTTGTATTTTCTACCTCTCTCAAGCAGCTGTACCTTGTTTTCTTCGTGATCATTAAAGTTATCCAAATCGTGTTTTGTTTAAGTCGAGTCGAAGTTAAGTCAAACGGTCAATCAGTGGACACTTCCCAAACATCGCCGCATCACCTCCCCTGGCTTTGGCGTTCCTCCTCGATTCCTCCTCGAAGACGCTGGCGGTGGAACCATTAACCACGATCGGAACGTCAAGATGCCGATCCGCACATCTCCTTCACGAGCATGAAAATTGAAGACACAAGTAGAAGTTTTTAGGATTTGTCTTTAGATTCTTCAATTGGCCTACGATTTATTTCTTCTAACCTGGCTTCAGTTGACCTTCCGAGAGTTCCAGCGCGGTGTTGTGACTTCCGGTCTGTCTCGGCCTTGCTGTGCGCTGTGTTGCGCCACTATCTGAGTAGTTAACCTCGCATTCAATAAACCTTCAGAGCCAAAGTGAACATCTGACTCCAACGTATTTAATGAATGAGCATGAATAAACATCAATGAGCTTCGACGAGTATCAATGAGTTTCAACGAGTTTCAATGACTTTGAAAAAGGTAAAACTTATGGAAAAACAACACAATACAGCATCTATTAATACATGCAATATCAATACAATGAATGAGCATTGCAGCATCATAACATTGTCTTAGATAATATGAATCTCAACAATAGGTCCTGGAATAGCACTGAATATCTATACAAGAGAATAAGCTACTGTGTTAAATAAGGTTACTTTATGTAATCACCATACTGCAGCCTAAATGTACAATGCTGCATATAACACTGAACTGTGGATGAGATACTTCTTCATCCTTGCTCTCAAGAACACAATAAAGTTACATGGGTACAAGTCTGACGTGATTTATCCAACTACAAATAACATTCACAATAATACAAGTGGCAGGCTTCGTTGTTAACTAGGACCCATATGCATCATAACAATTTAACGGCATTATAAAGGCATTTACAGCATTATAACAGCAATCACAACATTATAACAGCATTCCCAGGATTATAAGAACATAAACGAACTTACAGTCAATGCTTTTTAAAGTCCTGTAATGAACAGATGCACCTGTCTTCACTGAGACACTATTTGTGCTTCCAGATTGAACTCTGAGTAATGGCTGACACCCCCTACTGGCCTCGTGGCTTAAAGACCTTCAACCTGGTACTTCCTGGTCACGTGACCAAACTCAGCACCCTCATATCAGGAAGTAGTTCCTGTATAAACACATCCCCCATATCTGCCGTGCGACAGAACACGGTCTATGTTGGCTCTTTAGGAATGATTTGTTGTTAATTGTCCGCGAAGCGATGAGCGGCAACCAGCCGTCCGGTCTTGTTCTTTGACATGAAGCGTAAGTCTGGCCCATCGGGCCCGAATGGAACGTGCCCGGCTGTTTCGGGTCGGGCCCGAGTGGAACGTTTCTCATGCCCACGGCCATGCCTCGAGTTACTGATTGTTCGAGTAGCCCCGTCTTTTTGTGGGTGGCCAGGAAGCCACGTTGACGACCTGAGAGTCCTTCGGTGTTCACTCGGTCCAATCGAAGACATCGTCCGATCTGTTTCTGGCCCTTGATTAAAAGGGCCATTCGATCTTCAATATTTAGCTCTACGGGCTCAGATCTGGATTAGAATTAACGACGTCCATTTCGCCCAGATGTCGGTACTCGCTGTGCTAAAGGTAACGCGAAGGCACGTGGCACGCGGGGCCATGACGAGAAGGGGCTGCCGTCTCCCGCCCGATGCATGACCCTTGGGTCAATCCACTGTTAGATGAAAACCTCCCCACGCGATGTTGGTTATCGACGCATACTTCACTCTGATCAGTGTGCGTCGGTAACGTGAGGGTGGGACGTTATCCGTGGACCGATTAAGATATGACTGCACCGAACTCAGGCCAAGTTCACGAGCGCACTGCGCCTTCATTAGCTGACGCACCACCACCACTCGTTGGAAAGATTCCATCACGAGTGACCACGAGATGAGGGTGAGACCACGGTTACCAGAGAAGACGTCTCTTTACTTGACCCTATCAACCAAGGGGCCGTCCATAAATGACGTCACGCACCTGGGGGGGAGTCAGACATTTGTGACGATGAGAAATGTGACATCACATCAAAATGCGTAACTTTAAATAAATATAGACAACACGTTCTACTTAATTAAATAGACTTTTAAATGTTTTCTCCTACAACATCAGAGTGCAGCGGCACATTAAATACGCGCTACAATGACAATAGTTTAACGCGATTTAAAGCATGTTTTATTTTAGGGGGGGGCAGAGCTTTGTGACGTCATATTTGAGGGGGGGGTCTGACTTTTTGTGACGCCATGTAACGATGAGGGGGGGGGGGGTCAAAAATCGTCGAAAATCGCGTGACGTCATTTATGGACGGCCACCAACGGAAGTTTCCCGAGCGATGTTGCCAGTAACCACCCCGCCCGCCCCCCAGTAGGTTGGGGACGATGGCAGTACCCCAAACTCACCAGCAGGGGGCGCAGCTACTCCGTGTACCGCGAGGTGTGCCTGGGGCCATCGTAGCTGGAGACCCGGCTGATATGCTCAAGACTTGATTGAAGGATCGACCCCGCGTTTTCCCACCCAACAGGGTGATACGTTCCATTCATTGGCTACCACATTCTGATAAGCTCCCCTCCCCCTCTCCTCCCCCCTTAACTTGTATTTAAGAGCTCGCATCTTGAATCCCTCACTCACTTGATGCAGCAAATCTGGCTGTGACGGTCCCACCTGATGACGGAGACTTGTGTTGCCTACGAAACGTCGTGATTTTATTGTTTTATTTTTATTAATTTCATTTTTTACCTACGTGACTTTACCGGGAGAACTAAGAGTAGGGTGACACACACGCCGTACTCCAACGCCTATAACGTACACAGCAGTAGCAGGTGGACAGTAGACTCAGTACTGGGTCAGTTGTAAGCAGTTGTGGAGATATCTCATAGTTGCAGCTCAGCTCAGTTAAGGGGCCGTCCATAAATGACGTCACGCGATTTTGGACGATTTTTGACCCCCACCCTCGTCACACGGCGTCACAAAGTCAGACCCCCCCCTGAAATATGACGTCACAAAGCTCTGCCCCTCCCTCCCAAAATAAAACATGCTTCAAATCGCTTTGAACTATTGTCATTGTAGCGCGTGTTTAATGTGGCGCTGCACTCTGATGTAGGAGAAAACATTTATTACAAAGTCTATTTAATTAAGTAGAACGTGTTGTCTATAATTATTGAAAGTTGCGCATTTTGACGTGACGTCACATTTCTCAAATCCCTCGTCACACAGTCACAAATGTCTGACCCCCCCCCCTCCCTAGGTGCGTGACGTCATTTATGGACGGCCCCTAAATCCATGTGCTTCGCTAATTTTCAGAGGGTGGGGGGCACTTTCGCCGATAAGACACCAGCGGGGAGGGCCGCCACACATTTCTAAACCATCGTTGGGTTTCACAGCACGATGGGGGAGTTTCCACGTGTTGTGCATTGTCCGGGGGAGGGGGGGGGGCACGTCACGTGCTGCACTGAAAGGCCACCAGGGGCCGCTAGTGGCCCGTACGCCCTGCAATGAAGAGCGCTGCGTTCGGGCCATGCTCGTAGGGTGCGTTTGTCAGTCGGGGCCGTCCATAAATGACGTCACACACATAGGGGGGGGAGGGTCAGACATTTGTGAGGATGTGTGGGGAGGGGGGGTTTGAGAAATGTGACGTCACATCAAAATGCGCAACTTTTAATTAATATAAACAATATAATTGTTATAATAACACTAATTTTTATTAATTTTCATTATTTACTATTTTATTATTTAAATTTACTAAGGTCACCTTTTATTTATTCCATGAAAGAGCATTTTGCTTCTCCATGGGAGAATGGAAAAGCATAGATTTTGTATTTTTTTTTAATGATTGTTATTAAACATTTTGATTCTAATGATTCTACCAGGGCTTTTCATTCTGTGGAATGAATGTGATTGTTATAATTGTACTCTCCTTTTTGCCTCGTTATACTACAAAGTTTCAAGTATGTTTTATTGTTATAATTACTTTTAATATTTTATAATTATAAGATAATTTCAATATAATATTCTGAACATCTGCAGTTTTGGTTAGACATTTAATATTTTCAAGTTAATTTTATTCTAAATTTCAGCTTTCCAACACCTTTTTATTAATAAATGTTTTCTCCTACAACATCAGAGTGCAGCGCCACATTAAATACGCACTACAATGACAATAGTTTAGAGCGATTTGAAGCATGTTTTATTTTGTTTGAGGGGGGGGGGTCTGACTTTTTGTGACGCCGTGTGACGAAGGGGGGGGGGGGGAAGTCAAACATCGTCAAAAATCGCGTAACGTCATTTATGGCCGGCCCCTTAAGGTGTTTTTAGGAGGTTAGAATTGTCAAAATTAACCCGATGATGCCGGATGTAATTTACAAACTAAATGTCACGATACTCAAATTGTTAATGTTGTGCATTTACTCTCCAACATACCGGTGGGCAGAAGTAGTAACTCATTGCCTGGTAGACTGTGTCCAGGTAACCCCACCGCGTGCTTCCTCCCTCCAAAGCCCCCCCCCCCCTAAAGCGTGCCCCCCATTCCCCCCCACACGCAACTCAAGCAATGGGGTTGGCCATACATCCCAACGTAGGAACCTGACTGCGAATATTCATGAGAGCCGGTGAGGCTTTCCGGGGTTAATGCGGCAAAGGGCGTTGACAAAATTCCCACAAACAATAGTGTTCAACTTCTTGGTTCTTTCGGTTAAGACACGTAGAAGGGAAATAATAAAAATAAAACATAATAAAATAATTCTCACGACGCTTCGGCCACAACGCAAGCAGCCGTCCTCAGGTGAAGACCAGGTCTGTCGGGGAGACAGCGTCTTTCATTCAGACGCTGTCTCCCCGACAGACCTGGTCTTCACCTGAGGACGGCTGCTTGCGTTGTGGCCGAAGCGTCGTGAGAATTATTTTATGATGTTTTATTTTTATTATTTTATTATTTCCCTTCTACGTGACTTTACCGAAAGAACC